ACTCTACTACATTCCTAATAATAAACAATATAACATAATAAAAAGAATAATAGTAAGTTAATACCTAATAATAGGTCTTGATCCTACTGATAGTCCATACCAACTCAGTAAAAGATTCCATGCTGACTTAGGTAGTAATGCATAGTGTCGCTCTTCCATTAGATAATCTTTTAATGTTTCAGATACATTGCCTATAATTTTGTCATTATTTAAAAGCAGACAGTGTGTGTTTAAAAAATAATGCATAAAATTATCATGATACTATCAGTTATTGCAAAATTATAATAAGGTGGCACTAGTTATTTTTACTGCTATTAATATTATATACACATTATAATGACAATTAATAAAACAAAATATTATTTGTATGTTACTTTTAAACAAACTAGCATTATCAATTGGTCCTGGGTGAGAACTTGATGGCCCAGCAGTGTCTTGATCCTTTGAATCAAATCCAGTGCATTTCTTCCACTTCTTGAACCATCTCACACCAACAAGACACCTATTAATAATAATTAATTAACATTTTGTGACTATCATACTAACCATTTTTCTCCTTTCTTCAAACATTGTGGCAAGAGAGGTCGAATCAGTTCCTTTTGTGTTTCATAAGAAGGAATCCTTGCTAATGGCAGAGACTGCAGGGATGATAATAATTCACTTTTTGATACAACTGCATGTTCAAGTGCTTCACTTGATTTCACTTTAAACTCTTTCATTACTTCTGTTACTCTGGCCTCACATTCTTCATGTGTCTTAGAAAGTTGCTGCTCATGTTCTTTTGTTGCAGTCAAAAGCTTTGCATCATACTCCTCCTTCATTGCAGCAAGCTCTGTCAAACGCTTTTCCTTTAAATAAGATTCTCTTTTTTTCAGTAGATCTAAGTCACTTTGTTGTAGTTTAACTAGTTGTTCATCTCTGCTTCTAATGGTTTTCTTTAGTACTCGAGTGCAATCATTGAATTCGTTTTCTTTCAATAAAAGAGCATTTTGTAAACCTG